TGAACCGTATTCATCTATCAAGTCTTACAAGTCTCAAGGGATGCTTACTGGCATCGGCAAAACGCAAATCAAGCTTTCCGAACAAACAAATCCACGCGGTAAACCGTCAGTGGCAAAACAAAGACTGCACGATCCGTAATCGATTAGTCAAAGGTACTGCGAAAGTTTATAGTCCTCCAGCACAAGGGACTTTCAAAACATAAGCCCGTAGCTCCTTTTAACACGATGGTCTTGTGTTACTTAGGCCCGTAGCCCGCTTTAACACAACAGTCTTGTGTTACTTAGGCCCGTAGCCCGCTTTAACACAACAGTCTTGTGTTACTTAGGCCCGTAGCCCGCTTTAACACAACAGTCTTGTGTTACTTAGGCCCGTAGCCCGCTTTAACACAACAGTCTTGTGTTACTTAGGCCCGTAGCCCGCTTTAACACAACAGTCTTGTGTTACTTAGGCCCGTAGCCCGCTTTAACACAACAGTCTTGTGTTACTTAGGCCCGTAGCCCGCTTTAACACAACAGTCTTGTGTTACTTAGGCCCGTAGCCCGCTTTAACACAACAGTCTTGTGTTACTTAGGTAGATCTTCTCGGGTGTAGGCTCAAAGCAAAGATCAAGGACCTACAATCACATGGCAATCACATTCTCAAAACAAGCTTTATATGTATGCAAATGATCCCGGCATTCTCACCAGATCCAAGTCAATGACAAAGCAAAACATGCTGGGAGTTTAAACACCGCTTCTGTCTCATGAAAACACACTGGGTACCAACCAGGTCTTTACCGAGGTCCTACACCTCCTTGCCAAGGTGTGGTCCCGATGGCCACATTCAAAAGCAAAATCGAGAAAACCTGGGTTCCCTTTGAAGAACATGATGAACATGATCATGAGGAAGATGAATGCAAGATCATAACTTGTTACAAGGAATCTAAGATTTCATGCCATGAGTTCAAAACATGGACCTGGGTACCCATACAAGAAGGTCATGCAAGAACAAACACAAAACATGGTTCTTGTTCCAACTTTCGGATCAAAGCGAGACTTTTCTTCAAGAACACATGAATACTATCTTTCTCTTCCGAAACCAACTTCAAATCGATGCATGACGTGTAAAACAAATTCGATCATGCAATGCAGCTAGATGATCAATAACAACAACCAGAGTAGATTAAGATTCTTACCCCAAAGCTCGAATCTAACGGCTAAACTCCAAAGGTCAACTCGAAAATCCACTCTCTCACTCTAAAACTCCTTCTCCCTCTTCTAGAGCTTCTCTCTCTTCAAGAACAAAACTTGCAACAAAATGATACAAAAAAATGATATGTTCACTGGCCTGCCGGCTGACTTAACCTTCAGCTCGGACACGTGTCGCTACTGGGTTGGTTCAACTCAAAAGGTGATTGATTGATAAGACAAGTCTATGACAAAGCGTATGCAGCAAGCTAAGGCAAGACACATCGGCAAGTAATGACATCGGCTAGGGAGGACGACACTTGACTAAGCTGTGCCACCCCTTGGCCTGGGTGTGCCACACCTCGGTCTAGGCCAAACCTGCCCAAGAACAAGGATCACTAAGTGCAAAACATCTCGGCAAACATGCCCGTGGTGAAGATGGGGGCCGACCAAGTGGTTCCAAAACAGTTCTAAGTACAAAGGTTCAGAGGTGAACTAAGCTCAAGATGACCTCGGCTACACACCAAGCAAGGAACAAAATCATGCAAGCAATACTTAACCAAAACAAGGCAAGGCAAAACTTGCAAAACAACATAACAAGACAAGATCATGCATGAATGTATGCAGGTATGACAAGAGTAAGGTGAGGGTTGCTACCAGGCTGCCGATGAGAAGGCATACGCGAAGGGACAGGTCGATGTTTGGGACTCGTATAAAATGCAAGTTAATCTGGCCTGCAACAAAGGCTACTATCTCGGCTAGATGGCAACGCTGAAAGAGCTGTCTGTCCCTGAGGACTCGTCACTCATTGATATCAATCGACTCAACGTGTCTTTTCTCACCTCGCCTAACTAATTTGACGATAAGGTCAAAGAAGAAGAGGTCAGCGTTGAGAAAGAAGCCGAAGTCGACGTCGCTATTGGGACCAAGTCTTCCAACTCTTAATGATCAAGTCCTGGACTTGACTGAAGAGGACAAGGATGAGGTGTCCAAAAGCACCTTGCCTAACAAGGCCGACGCTTCTAAAGCCGAGGTCATTGCTGCAGAAAAGAGTTCGAACCAAACTTTATTAGAAATCAATGTCGAGATAGCAGCTGAGAAAAACATTCTGGTTACCGAGGCCGACTCAATGCCAACCGCCAAGATGGACCAACCAGAGAATCATACTGACACTTAGAATTTTTTTCCTTTTCTTTTGGGTTGTGCTTTTTCTTTTCTACTAAACAGTTGTAATCTTCTTGAACAATCTCTATTTTTGTCGGGCCAATATGCCATTTTCATGTACTTAGATGAGCTTTCTCTTATCAATGCAAGCCCTCTTTTTGTCTAAATGTTGATTCTATTTCTTCATATGTTGTATATGCTTGTTGTCTTCTCTGTTTTGTATGTTTTCATACTTAAAATTTTTCTTATCTTTCCAAGTCTAATAACTTAGTTCCTTACCTCATATCAGAATACCTTGGATGCATTATCTCATATTAGAATTGATCAATCATCTCGGATAGTATCTCTAACATTTACCTCGTAAAATTTTTCTAAAAGTTTTCACAAGTGTTATAATTACTTATCATCTCGGATAGTACCTCTAACATTTATCTCAGATAACTTCAACTTGTAAAATTTTCTAAAAATTTTCACAAGTGTTATACTCACTCATGTTTCCTGCCCCCTAATGTGAACCTAAGTATAACTTATGTTCACATTAAGGATGCATCGCCTGGTTCTTGCCTAAATATAATTTAGGCATCCATGACCGAGGTCATCGCATTTGGCTTGCCCAAACTAAACAGTTAAGGCTTGACCTTAGTGTACTGAGAGTACTAGCTACCTCAACTTTTTGCACAAACCGACCAAAACATGGCTAGTTTCACCTTGTTTCACTCTGAAATATCGCCTTATGCTTAGTTCAACTTTACCAATATGACAAGTCTAAGTTAATCGCCTTATTTCACTTTGTACTTAGTTCAACTCTACCATCATGGCATGTCTAAGTTGATCGCCTTGTTCACCACGAGAACATCGCCTTGTTTCACATTGAAACATCACCTTGTACTTAGTTCATTTCTATTATCCCGACAAGTCTAATTTGATCACCTTGTTCACTATGGGAACATCGCCTTATACTTTCTCAGTTGTATCTCGCAATCACAAAATTCAATAACATTTTGTAAAACCAAAAATCGATACTAGTATTTTATTAAATACTTCGGCTAAAAATCAATTCAAATTACATATGGTCTTTCCCAGTTTGGCCAAGCTTACCCTCTTTAGGATCCTTCTTGTTCCCACCGACCTTCTTGAGGATGAGGTCTCCAATCTAAAACTCCCTAGGATTGACCCTCTTATTGTATGCCCTAGCAAGTTGTTACTGGTATGCCCTCAGCCGAATTGCACCTTAAGCATTCCTAGGCCATTCTCATTGCATTCCTAGGCCATTCTTAATAAGACAAACGTAGCCCAATCGTCATCCCTAATCCCATTCTCATTGCACCTTAAGCATTCCTAGGCCATGATCAAGACATAATAATGAGGGTAAAACGTAGAAACACACTAAAAATAGAACGTAATGAGTTAAGTATATTCTGAACGTCTACTTCAAATGTGTATTTGTTATGTGTTGATGTAGGTCACGCGCTGCAATCATTTGGTGCTCTGTCTGTTTGCACTCGGAGCCATCTGTGAGTAATAAATTAGTAAAGTTATGTTCAACTTTATTTATTTTCTCTATGATGAAATAAGATCTGTTTTACGAAATGTTATGTTCTATGCAATGAATGATTGTCCAATTTCTGACAATGTATTCGTGGCATCCTTAGCATTATGTGATATCTGTTAGTTGTTACTCGGTATCGGAGGTTCCAATATGGAACTTGATATGTCTACACTCTATTGTCCGTACCAGAGGCTCCATCATGGAGCTCAGTATATTTGTTCTCTATTACCCGAATCCGGAGGTTCCTTTATGAAACTAATTACTCATAACCACCATCTGTTCTGTATCTGTTCTGTTAGCGCTAATGGAAGTACCACGTATGATTAAGCATGAACTCTGATTTCTATATATGACTTGAACAAGAACAAGAATATGTATAAGAATCTAAATTCTGATTTCTGAATTTGATATGGATATCATTCATTAAAATCCTTTACTCTGTTATTATTCACTAGGCTCCCACTCACTATTTATATTATGTATGTAGGTAAGCAAGCGCGTTACCAGGCCTAAGCTACTGCTTGGAAGTTTTGGTGTCAACCAGCCACCGTGCCTCTCGAAGAGGTTCCCGTGTCTACAAGTCAAATTTTGTGGACCCTTATGTATTATATTAAGAACGTTTTTGTTTGTCTTGTTTTGATATCTGTATACTGGGTTAAGCCCCTTTTGATGACGCTTGCATAGTAATGCAAGACTTGTATAAACATGACATCTTATGTGTATATTTTATAAGGATTAAAAGTTCTGTCCCATGTATGTCTACGCAACTCTATGGACTATGTATATTTTGTATATTTGCTTCTGCAACCCCTAAATATATGTTATTCTGTTAAGAGGCCTTTGGTAATTCAAAGATTACTGGTCGGTTACGACGCTAAACCTATAGAGACGGGTTTGGGTCGTGGCAGAATGGTATCAGAGCATGAGTTATACCACACACACAAGTCCATATGAGCTATAAGATGTCCTAGAAAGACGTTGGGACATATCACCTACATGTGTGCATGCGTAAAGAAATTTCTATAACTGTGAAGATTGAATTTGAACCTGAATATACGAAATTGAAAGAACTGAACAAGATTATTCCTCTATTTATTATTAGCTTGTTCCCTATAGTATTATGGAGAACACAAGAAGTAATGATACAAGTGAATCCTCAGAGGCTCACATGAGCCAAATGGAACTGATGCCTACAGCATTGACTGAAGCAATGACACAACAGCAGAGACAACAACCTTTGCCCCCTCCGCCTCTGCCGGTACAAGTTAAACCCGATAATAACGATGTCATCAACCTAACTCAGAAATTTATGAAGATGAAACCGCCAACTTTCTTGGGTGATATTGAACCGTTGAAAGAAGAGACATGGTTACTTGAGATAGAGAAGTTATTTGAAGTTTTTCCCTGTACCGAAACTCGGAAGGTTTTATTGGCCACCTATACTCTCAACGACGAAGCTCGAAGATGGTGGTTACTGATTCGGAATACCAATGGAAACATGACATGGGCTCGATTCAATGAAATCTTTTATGACAAGTACTTCCCTCAGTGTTTTCGGGTCCGAAAAGTGTTTGAGTTCCAAGAACTTAAGCAAGGCAGAATGTCCGTAGCTGAGTACGAGGCTAAGTTCACTGAGTTAGCTAGATTTGCTCTTCACATGGTGGATACGAACTATGAGAAAGCCCGCAAATTTGAAGGAGGATTGGATTTAGACATATTTGATCAAGTAGGCGTATTGAAGTTGCCAACATACTTATAAGTCCTTGATAGATCCTTAATGGCTAAAGCTACTCTAGTCGCTGTGAAACAAAGTAAGACCCCAACAACAACAACAGAATGGAGAGGAAAAAGGTCCAGGTACGGTTTTAGAAAGGGACGTTCTTATGTGAGTAAGAAGCAGAACACGGGGTCTACAAGTAGCTCAAGTCAGAGCAGTGGGTCTATTCCAGTTTGCTCTGATTGTGGAAAGAGGCATAGGGGCGTATGTTATCGAGCATCAGGTGCTTGTTTCCTATGTGGCAAGACAGGTTATGTAGTGAAAGATTGCCTGCTTGGGTGTAATAATGCCAACCGCCCTACAACGAGTTCAGCTGGATCCGCTTCTACAGCTAAAACAAATGCAAGAGCTAATACTAGGAAAGAAACTCTGAGACAAGTTCGAGTATTTGCCTTAATGCCGAGCGATGTGCAGAACACTGAAGCTGTGGTGTCAGGTATAATTCCCATATGTACCCAAAATGCATATGTGCTGATAGATTCTGGTTCTACCCATTCATTTGTGTTACATGCCTTTTCTCAAAAATTAACTAGACTAGTAGAACCTATGAATTATTTGTTATCTGTATCTACACCATGGGGGGGTTCCACGGTATGTGCTTATGTTTATCCAACATGTGATATTGTGATTGGAAACGTGACGTTGTATGTTGATTTGTTGCCTTTGGGAATTGATAATTTTGATTGCATATTGGGCATGGACTGGTTGACTAAGTATTTTGCTACTATTGATTGTGTGAATAAACTTGTTGTATTCTAACCTCCAGGGTTACTTGAATTTGTATTTGCTGGAAATGGGGTAGTCCCTCCACCATATTTAATTTCATTTATGAAAGTCAGGAAATTGCTAAGAAAATGGTGTCGGGGCTACTTGTGTTGTGTGTTGACTGTATCTCCGGATAGTGCTAATGTGGACACAATTCCTATGGTTTGTGAATTTCCTGATGTATTTCCTAATGACTTACCTGGGAAGTTAATTGATAGGGAAATCGAGTTTACTATTAATGTTGTACCCGGGACACAACCGATTTCTAAAACTCCATACAGAATGTCCACTACTGAACTGAAAGAATTGAAAGTCCAACTCCAAGAACTTTTAGATAAGAAATTCATCCGTCCGAGCACGTCACCTTGGGGTGCTCCAGTTTTGTTTGTAAAGAAGAAGGATGGGTCTTTGAGATTATGTATAAACTATAGTGAATTGAATAAAGTAACCGTGAAGAACAAATACCCATTACCCTGAATAGATGACCTATTTGACAACTCCAAGGAGCCCAAGTGTTTTCTAAGACTGACCTTAGATCTGGGTATCACCAGTTAAAGGTTAATGCAGAAGATATAGAGAAAACTGCATTCAGAACTAGATATGGACACTATGAATTTTTGGTAATGCCATTTCGGATAGCTAATGCACCTACGGCATTCATGGATTTAATGAATAGGGTATTCAAACAATTTCTGGATGAATTTATTGTTATCTTTATTAATAATATACTAATTTATTCCAAAAGAAGGGAAAAGCATGAGAACCATTTACGAACTACTTTACAGACTTTGAGAGAAAAGAAGTTGTATGCAAAATTATCCAAATGTGAATTTTGGCTTGACATGTGGCATTTTTAGGACATGTAATTAACAAGGACGGTATCTTTGTTGACCCTTAGAAAATTGAAGCCATTGTGGACTGGTTAAGACCAACTACTATGTCAAATGTGAGAAGTTTTCTAGGACTTGCCGGTTACTACAGAAGATTTGTGAAAGACTTCTCGAGACTTGCTATGTCGTTGACACAGTTGACACAGAAAAACATGCCATTTGATTGGATTAATCAGCGGGAGTCAGCCTTACAGGAATTAAAGACTAGATTGGTAACTGCACCTATCCTGACATCACCTAACGGAACTGATTGGTTCTAGATTTACAGTGATGCCTCTTACAAAGGCTTGAGGTGCTAATGCAAAATGGGAAAGTAATTGCTTATGCCTCTTAGCAACTCTGTCCTCTTGAAAAGAATTACACAGCTCATGATCTTGAATTGGCAGTTATTTTGCTTTGAAAATTTGGCAACACTATCTGTACGGCACAACTGGTGAAGTGTATACCGATCATAAAAGTTTAAAATATTTCTTTACTTAGAAGGAACTAAACATAAGACAGAAAAGATGGTTGGAATTGATAAAAGACTATGACTTGCAAATTTTATATCATCCAGGGCAGATGCATTAAGCCAAAAATCTATAGGGAATTTGTCATGTTTACTCACCAGTCGGAGAGAGTTGTTATGTGACTTGGAAAAGAATGTGGTTGAAATAACAAGGTGGGATCTTGGCCGCTATTTCTGTTCAACCTGCTATCACTGAAGAAATCAAGGAGAAATAACTTGAAGATGAGTTCTTGAAAAAGATTGTGGGAGACTTTGACTCAAAACTGAGGCCGGGATTTGTGCTTGAAAATAATGTGTTGAAATTTCAAAATAGACTTTGTGTACCAAATTGTTGTGATTTGAGAAAACGTGTTATAACTAAAGCCCATAATTCTAAATTTGCTATGCATCCGGGGACACAAAGATGTATCATGACTTAAAACAGAATTTTTGGTGGCCGAAAATGAAGAAAAGTATTGCTGACTTTGTGGCTAAACACTTACACTGCTAGCAAGTTAAAGCTGAACATCAACGACCTGCTGGATTACTTCAGCCGCTTCCAATACCGGAATGGAAGTGGGAGCATATTACTATGGATTTCATTGTTGGACTGCCTCGCTCTTTTCAAGGTATGGATTCTATTTGGGTCATTGTTAATCATTTAACTAAATCTGCTCACTTTTTACCTGTCAAATGTTTGTATAATGCGGATAAGTTGACTAATTTGTTTGTCAATGAGATTGTGAAATTACATGGAGTTTCAATGTCCATAGTATCTAACAGAGATCCCAAGTTTACTTCGAGATTTTGGCAGAGTTTGCAACAAGCTTTGGGGACTGAATTGAGATTAAGCAGTGCTTATCACCCACAGACAGATGGCCAATATGAACGGACCATTCAAGCATTGGAGGACATGTTACGAATGTGTGTGTTGGACTTCCAAGGGAATTGGGAGATTTACCTTCCTTTGGCCAAGTTTGTATACAACAACGACTATCATTCAAGTATTGGAATGGCTCCTTATGAAGCTTTGTTGGGAGAAAATGTCAATCTCCAATCTGTTGGGCTGAAGTAGGTAACAAACCTTTGTTGGGACTGAAACTTGTGCAAGAAACAACTGAAAATGTGAAATTGATTCAATAGAGGTTGAAAACTACACAAAGCCGCCAAAAGAGTTATGCAGATGTCCAAAGGCAATATAGAGAATACGAAGTCAAGGATCATGTGTTCATAAAAGTGACTCCAATGAAAGGGCAAACCTAGTTTGGTGTTAAGGGAAAGTTAGCACCGAGATATGTTAGGCTATATGAAATCCTTGAGAAAATCAATTTGGTGACGTATCGGGTAGCCTTACCGCCAGTCATGGAGCATATGCATAACGCTTTTCACGTATCTATGCTTCAAGAGTATTTGAGAGATCTATTCCATGTCATTGAACCAACATATGTGCTCTTGAAAGATGACTACACCTATGAGGAAAGGCCAATACAGCTTGTTAATCGCTGAATCAAAAGACTAAGGAACAAAGAAATCCCATTGGTGAAGGTTAATTGGCAAAACCATGGAAGGACTTATGCAACCTGGAAGACCAAGGAAGATATGATGAAGAGATACCCAGATTTGTTTCCTCTAGATCCAACAATCTTCCAAAACAAAGGTAATTCGAGTTTGGAGGACCAAACTCTTTAAGAGGGGAAGATTATAACAATCCCAACCCCTGATTAACATTAACCCATGCTTAATTATGTCTAATAAGTAATTAAGATGAATTCCTGAGTTAATTACATGTGCATTGCATTATTTGAGTTTATATCTGTCTGCAGTAGGAATATCTGTCTATGTTTCTGATTTGTTCTGCGAATTTAAGGCCTTATCGGCATTCGATCATGAAATTGACTTGGTATATGTGTTAGTTTGAATTTTTAGAACGTTGTGGTAGGTTTAATTGAAATTCGATTCGGAACAAAATAATTAGAATAATTAATACTCATTGGATTAGTGGTAAGCTTAATTAATTAATTCTCTTAGCCAAGCCTATAAAAGGCTTATATACTACCTGGAGTCACCTTCTACTCATTGTAGCTCGACTTATTCGCGTCCCTTTTCGGAAACTCGAAAGAAGTCCTACAATTCGGACTCCTGCAGTTTTGAATCTAATCTAACAAGTGCAATGTGCAATTGATAAACACCAAAGAGTTCAAATCCGGCAAATCTTTTGGAAAATCGATTTTGAATCAAAATGTCAAAAATAGACTGCTTTGCCAGATATAGAGTCGCCACCTAAATATTTTATTTTGGAAAAATTTAGGAAACCCATGACTCGTGCCAAAGGCCACGTGTCCGTCATCACCAAGATTGTCTCGGTTTGAGAACTTAGGTACAAGGGGGAAAGGTCATGAATTGAGCAACCCCGCTCGCCCGATCAAAGATCGGCCTCTACTAATCATGATATGATTTTTATCAACATTATATACTCTTGTTCCGGTTTATTAGGCTAGCATTTACTATGTGATGTGCGCACACAAGATATAGACTAGTTTGCCCAAATTGAAACAATTCAATTTCATGTTTGTTTTGCAAAGGGTTTGATTTTGCTACTCAACAAAGTGGGGTTAAAGTTCATGAGCTTGCCACTTGACAAAGTGAGCTTAAACATACATTCATTGAATCATTCTAATTCAAGCAAGAAGCCTTTATCCACAGGCACTCAAACAGTTTAACAAGTAAGCACTTAGCCTCATGATAAGCATGCTAGTCATGGCAGTCACTTTACACTCATGCAAGTATACTAAAGCACTAAAAACTCACCTACTACTCCAAGCTTAGATAAAACAAAAGAG